CCGGAAAAGCAGACAGGACCAGGACACATGCCCCGGCCTGTGGGCTGCTGCTGAGTTTGGGCCTGTGAGGCCGGGAGGAGGAGGCCGGCGTGGGGCGGGGAGGAGGAGGCTGGCGTGGGGCGGGGAGGAGGAGGCCGGTGTGGGGCCGGGAGGAGGAGGCTGGCTGCTCTCTTAGATTCTGTTCCGCGGCTTCTCGTTTCTGGGAGTTCCTCACCGTGGGCTTCCGCACCAACAGACTTGGAACTCGGATGCCCATTGGGGTCTCGGTAGGAGCAGATGTACCCACCACCCTGCCCACAGTTGCTGCACCTCAATCTCAGTGTGGCCCTAGGTCCCTCCGGACACAAGGCTATGCTGCCTCCTTCCCATCCAGCAAAGCCCGTGCTTCAGGCCCTCAGACGGACTGACCGCAGTAGCAGCGCCCCATCCTCCTGGACCCACGATGCACCTGCTGTAGCTCCTGGGTGCCCTGCGCCATCTGCATGGGGTCTCCCAGGGCTCACCAGGCAGCACTTCCCTTGCAGGGCTCCCTGCGGATTGCCGTGGCCGCTGGGAGAGCTTCGTGGAGGAGACACTGACGGAGACGAACCGCAGGAACACTGTGGACCTGGTGAGGAGGCTCGAGGCTGCCCCCTCGGCATGTGCACGGTGCTGGGACGCTGTGCGACGCTCCTGCCTTTGCCCTGAGGCAGAGGCCAAGGGAGGCACAAGGGCCGCACACCTGCCTGCTCCTGTTGCACGCGGCACCCCTGCGTAGCCCGCAAGTGTGCAGTGTGTCCTCTGGGCTGGTGTCCGTAACAGAGACCCTGTCCTGTGCCACACCAGGGCTGGGTCTCTGAGGACCTCTGTGCAGAGCCGGTGTTGGCCTCAGTTCCCTTCCCTCCCACTCCAGGAGCTGTAGCTTATTGGCAGAGGGCTCCTTTTGCCTGAGACCCACAACCTGCCCCCTGCACACGGAGGTTGGGCTGTCACGGGGCCTTGGCCTCACCTGGGCACCTTACACAACACGGCCTCCGGGGCCCAGAGATCTGACGAGTGACGTGCTGGGCGGGGTCTGGGAGCCCTGGGCTGGGCAGGGTCCTGGGCGCTGGGCTGGGTGGGATCTGGGGCGCTGGGCTGGCTCACACGCCCACCCCATCTGGCCTGTGTTTTAGGTGAGCACTCACCACCTTCACTCCTCGAGTGAGGACGAGGACATTGAGGGTGCTTTCCCTAACGAGCTGTCCCTTCAGCAGGTGAGGGCGTGGCCGGCACCTGTGTGCGCTGCGCTTGGTCCTCCAGACGAGTCTGATGGCATCTCACTAGCAAAGGGGAGAGGGGGCTCGTCTCCGAGCACGTATGGGGTGGGGTGGGTCTGAGGGGAGAACCCCAAAGTCACTCCACCTTGATGAGAGCGCTGAGAACACAGCAGATGGACTCCAAAGTCAGAATATGGGGCGTATCTCAGATGTGACCGCAGCAGGCACGCAGCCTGAGTTTTGGTAGAATCGTGAGCCCTGAATGGTCAGAGTTTACTGCCGGCTTTTGCTGGAGGAGAAGCTCCTGAACGACTAGAGAGCCTGTGGTTCCAAAGAACAGCCTCCAGGCCTGAGGCTGCTCCATGACTGGTGTCCCTGCCTCCCTCCCTCCCAGGCCTTCTCTGACTACCAGATCCAGCAGATGGCAGCCAGCTTCGTGGATCAGTTTGGCTTCAATGATGAGGAGTTTGCAGACCAGGACGACAACATCAAGTGAGTCTGCTTGGACGTCCGTCCTCGCTGCTGGGGTCCCATGGGGGCAGCTCCCTGAGGCCTTGCCAGGAGTGCTGCCTGATGTCCCTAGTGAGCACCGGGGGAGGAGAACTGCAGCCCCAGATGAGCAGTGAGGGGGCAGGAGCGCTGAGACCACCCTCCTTGCTCTTGCAGTGCCCCGTTTGACAGGATTGCAGAGATTAACTTCAACATCGACGCTGACGAGGACAGTGTGAGCCAACGGGGCTGTGTGGCACTGTGCGGGGCTGTGTGGCGTGCAGGCACCCTTTTCCCAGGCAGCTCAGGCCGCGCCCATGGCTCGGTCTGCCACGGGCCTGTGGTCTGCCGTGGGCCTGTGCGGTGGGGCTGGGGGAGGCCCCTCTGTGGAGCTCAGAACAGTCGCTTTCCTTGCCCCTCCCCATCCTGCCCTCCAGCCTGGGGCTCCCACATCCTGAACTAAGCCCCTCTGGGAGCCCTTTGGGGAGAGCACCTCCTGTCTCCCCCAGACCCTCTGGAAACTGACCTTGGCGTTTTACCCGGCAGCCCAGCGCAGCTCTGTTTGAGGCCTGCTGCAGCGACCGCATCCAGCCCTTTGACGACGAGGACGAGGACATCTGGGAGGACAGTGACACTCGCTGTGCCACCCGCGTGATGGCCAGAGCCAGGTGCAGGGCCCGCCCATCCCCCAAAGCCTCTGCCGAGGAGGTGCAGCCACCAGAACACCCGTCAGACGCCCCGACGCCCTGCTGTTTGCTAACTCTGGCTTGCAGAGCAGGCTCACCTGTCCTGCAAGTTCTGGGGCCCAACGCAGCGGGTGACCCTGAGGAGCCCGGAGCTGAGGCCTAGAGCGACTCCTGCTCCTCTCTCGAGATGATCTGTGCTCACTCTCAGCCCCGAGCCTGGGGCCGTCACTAACCCTCAACATTAGGCGTCCATCCTGGGCCACCAGGCATCTGACTCTGAGTCTCCCCCAGGTTTGGAGCCCCCCATGCTTCAGACAGCTGCTCAAAGAATGGCCCAGAGCGCGGAGGCCAGGACGGGAAGGCGAGCTCAGAAGCACACGGAGATGCACCTGGGGCAGGTGCCCCCCTGGCCCCTGGGAAGAAGGAAGCCCCCACTGTGGAGGGTGACTCAGAAGGTGGCGCTGGGGGCCGGGGCTGTGGGTGTTGGGGACAGGACATGGTACCCTGGCCTGGGTGTTGTGGAAGCTTCATTTGGGGCTCACTGTGGCCCGGAGCCTACATCCCCAGCTCTTTCCCAGCCATCCCGAGTAGGGGTCTGTGCTGTCCTGTGCCCGGCACAAGGTGGTCTCCTGGCCCTGCCTCTTGATTGTGGTCACTCAGCCACGTTGCCAAGGCTGGTGGGTGGTGTCCACCTAGTCTTCATCGTCCACCCGGCCCCCACAAAATTGGGCACGGGCCTGACGCCCTCCCCAGCACAGCAGCTCAGGCTGGCCGCCACCCTCACAGCCTACGTCTGTGGCAGGAGCTGGTCCACCCCACAGGCCGCATGGCTGATAAGACCCCTCTCCTTATCCCTGCCCTGGAGGCAGCACTGAGGCACTCAGGACTTTGGGCGGGGGGGGACAGGAATCTGTGCGGCACTCAGGACTTTGGGTGGGGGGGACCGGATCTGTGCGGCACTCAGGACTTTGCGGGGGGACCGGAATCTGGGCGGCACTCAGGACTTTGGGTGGGGGGGACCGGAATCTGTGCGGCACTCAGGACTTTGCGGGGGGACAGGAATCTCTGTTAGGAGGTGCTGAGCTCTTAGCTGAGGCTGACGGAGCAAGGGTGACACCCTGGGGAAGCACGAACATCCCAGATCGGAGGGAGGCACCCCATCCTCGAGGCCAGGGAGGGGCCAGTGGTGCTCGGTGAGCTGCCGTTTCTGTCGGTTGCGTTCCTGGCTAGGGCAGGGCAGTGGTGTCACCTCCACGGTCAGTTCAGCCCTGCTGGAGGCCTTGGGCCCCTCAGGCGCCTCCCTGAGCCTCGGGTCACATGCCCCATGGGTGTTGGCAGCTTGTCAGGACCCTCAAGCTGCCCCGTTGCTCTCAGAGGGGCTGATGCGCACTGCCCAGCCCTCCCTCCTGGATCAGCTCCATGTTCCTGTCAACCTCTGTGGGGCCCCTGGGGTGGGGGTGCTGCCTTCCCTTTGCCTGCAGCACCCCAGGCAGGCCTGCCCACACCTGACCCATCTCCCCCAGCAGGCGCCATGTGGACAGCAGTGTTTGATGAGCCAGCGAACTCGACACCCACAGCCCCAGGAGTGGTGAAGGACGTGGGTTCCAGCGTGTGGGCAGCTGGTACCTCAGCTCCAGAGGAGAAAGGCTGGGCCAAGTTCACCGACTTCCAGCCCTTCTGCTGGTAACAAATGCGCTGGCAGGAGGGGGCCGTGCCAGGAAGTGCCCGTCACGGTCAGGAGGCGTCCGTCCCCCGGGACTGACCCTGTCCTCGTGCTTGCCTGCAGCTCCGAGTCAGGGCCCAGGTGCAGCTCTCCAGTGGACACAGAACGCAGCCGGGCTGAGGGCAGCCGGAGCCAAGGCCCTGAGAAAGCCTGTGAGTAGGAGTAGTGCAGGCAGTACCCAGGTTCCTGCAGAGGCCCAGTCTTGCCCAGTTTAAGACCTGAGGCCAGCTGGCCTCCCTCCTTGGGGGCAGTGGGAGGTGGTGGCCAGGGCCCCGCATGCTGCTGGGCCTCTGGTGACATTGGGGTTTGATACAGCAGTGGGACTGGAGCAGCCACATGCAGATGGGGAGGCCCCCAGAGGGGAGGCAGCAAGGCCATCGGGCTGGCCCTGAGTCCGGTCTGAGTAGGTGGCACAGCCCAGGCCTGCACCCCGGGTTCCGGCCAGCAGCCCCGGGACCCCAGTATTGAGATGTATGTGGGTGGGGTGCTGGCAGGAAGCCGTTCTGGGGCCTGATCAGAGCCCCTGGCCCCCAGCCCCCTAGTCAGGCACAGAAGCTCCCCCAGATAAGGCTGAGAGCTCCAGGAGAGTGACAGCTGGCTGCCAACACTGGTGTCCCAGGTGCTTGAAGGAGCTGTGGCAGGACCATATGAGGCGGAGCGGGCCCCTCCCTGAGCCTCTGTGTCCTCCTGTGAGACCAAGGCGTGTTGCCCTGTATCATGGGGGAGGCAACAGGGTTGCTTGTGTGGAGACCCCATGGCAGGTGCGTGAGCCTGTCTGCCTCATCATGCAGCTCTCACACAGGCACACGTGTGCAGGCAACAGGCTGCATGTGAAAGGCCACATGTATGGGGGCCCTATGGCCAGGGTGGCCGTGCCCTGTGGCCCCTCCTGCCTCACTGGACAGCACAGGCCTCCTCCTTTGCAGTCAGCCCAGCTTCTCCATGTGCCTGGAACGTATGTGTCACCAGGAAGGCCCCCCTGCTGGCCTCTGACAGCAGCTCCTCTGGGGGCTCCAACAGCGAGGACTATCAGAAGGCAGCGAGTGCCGTGGATGCCGTGAGCAGGAGTCCTGGCCGGGAGGCCCCCCCGCGGCCCACAGGGGCCAGGACAGAGGAGGCTGTCGGCAGGTGTGTGGGGCGTGGGGAGCGGGGCGGGCCTGCCCAAGTGCAAAGGGTGCGGCTTCCAGGCCGTCCCCAGGTCTCAGCTCCCCCCAGAGCAGGCCGAGGCCAGGCCAGAGGTCTTCCCCACACTGCTTCCCCCATGGCCCTGTGGCCCTCAGAAGCTGGCTCGGCGGGTGATGCTCGGGGGAGTGATGCTCGGGGGAGTGATGCTCAGGGTGATGCTGCACATTAAGTGGAGCTGGATGGGAGGAGGGTGGGGCTCGTTTATTGGACAGAACATCTGTGTTCTCCGTTGTGAGTGGTTAAGACAAGAAGACAGGGCCTGGGTGTCCCAGACAGTCCTCCAGGGACTTGGGGGAGCAGCCCCTACCCCAGATCCCGGTTGGAGAGAACAGCCCAGCTCTTGGGGCTCTGGGCCTGGCTGAGCCGCCTGGGATCTGGGTACCCTGGTGGTCAGGGAGGGGCACAGACTTTAAGTCCGGCAGGCGAGCGGGCATCTGTGGAGCTCACACAGACCTCGCCCGCTGCTCCCCTTCCACGGGAGGCCTGTGATTCCCAGACGCCTCAGAAGCAGGACAGTAGAATGGGGGCGGGGGCCTCAGGACTGCATTTTGGGGGTCCAGACCCTGAGAGTTGGAGGCAGCTTGCAGGTGGGCAGAGGCCCAGGCTCCCTTGAGCCCCCAAGAGCCATTCCTGGGGAGAGAGTGGAGAGGGAGGCACTCCCTGTGAGGAGGCTGGCATCTGGCCGGCCCCTCCAGCAAGCTGAACCCCATCCATCCCTCCACAGGAAGAAGGTCTCTGGCATTCTTCAGTGAACAGATACCTCTCTGACCTCTGGGGTCAGGGGGTGGGAGATTAGCAGGAGGGCAGGACAGATGGGGTAGATGCCAGGGCCAGGTAAACCTAAGGGGGAGGGTAGGACTGGGCTTGACGGGGGGGACGAGGGTGCACCCGGCAAGGGTACAGCTGTGCAAAGGCCCTGGGGCCTGAGCTCCCAGTAGGTCCAGGCAACAGTGGGGAAGTCCTTGGACTGGATTCCTCTAGGAGGGGACAAGGTGCCTGTCGCCTGGTGGTACATCCCAGTCCCTCCTGGCTCCGTGGTTGTGAAGGGCCTCAGCCTGCATGTGTCCCGCCTGTGCTGCCCTCCCCTCACATGTGGAGCAGGTCTGACACCTCAGGGGGTCCTGCTCGCTGACCCCCAGCAGTCCTGGAAGGTCTGTGTGGTACTGGGGCTCCAGGCATCTCCCCCAGCCAAGCTGCAAGCTCAGCACCAGGCTGGCTCTCCCCGCCCTGTTGACCAGCAGGCCCCGTCTGTGCTCACAGCTCCTCCCCTTGTTTGGCCACCCTGTCCTCAGGGCATCTGCAGCAAGTGGGGGGCACAGCACGGGAAACGGGGCCAACGCCACAGCAGTGGATGTCCCGATGCCGAAGTCACTGGGAAGCCCAGGCCAGAGCCCCTCAGGTTGAAAGTCATACAGAGTTCCTGTGTGGGCTTCATTCCTTCTTAAAAGTTTAGTCACTGAAAATAATTTTTTGTTTGTGTTTTTGTTTTTGAGATGGAGTCTTGGGCTGTTGCGCTGAGCAGTGACCGCGCTCAGCCTAGTCACTGAAATTCTTAACAGTCTTTACCCATCCAGGCACAGTAGCTCACGCCTGTAATCCCAGCACTTTAGGAGGCCGGGGCAGGCGGATCACGAGGTCAGGAGTTCCAGACCAGTCTGGCCAATATGGTGAAACCCATCTCTACTAAAAATACAAAAATTAGCTGGGCATGGTGGCGGGCGCCTGTAGTCCCAGCTACTCGGAAGGCTGAGGCAGGAGAATCGCTTGAACCAGTGAGCCGAGGTCGCACCATTGCACTCCGGCCTGGGCGTCAGAGACTCTGTCAACCAAAACAAACCTTTACCCACTTTTCCTAAACAACCCGTAAAAAGCTTTGCTCTGAAAAGTGGGAATATCATTGTGCAAAGTAAGTTGCTTTTTTCCACGGGGCTGTCTGCATAAAACTTGCCACTTAGAGCTGTGCCTGCACTGTCCTGGCAGTCCAGCCTGCAGGTGAGCTCCTCACACCCCCGCCCGGCCTGAGCGCCCCTCGCTGGGTCAGACACTCAGTGTCCTC